AACCCCCGTTGGGCTGCCTTCGGCACAAGGGGGGGGGTGGGGGGGTGTGAAGGAGCATACCACTGTGGTTTCAGGGTACTTTAGGCTCTATAACAGGCGCAGATTTTTCCAGGCTTTTCTAGGATTGATGGTAACTTCTAAAAAAGTCAGCTCACTCTTAGAAGATACTTTCATGGAAATCTTTCCTACAGCCCAGGTCTTCGAGTATGCTTAGATTCAATTAAAAAAATTAATCTAAAAGCAGTATTGCTTCAGTTTCGCAAGTTTCAGTGTGAAATTTATATTTTACAGCTAGGGCTTCTCTTTCCATGGGGCTTTCTCACACTAGGAAGGCTCACACCAATAAGGAAAACAAGAGCTCCACCTTAACCCATCCTACTGACACAGGCTAAATCCCAATGCTTGTGTCTCTTCTGTTTCAGCAGTAGAAGTTCTTCTACTGACACGGGCTAAATCCCAATGCTTGTGTCTCTTCTGGTTCAGGCGGAGACAGTTTTCTAATTAAATTCAATTAAAAAAATTAATCTAAAAGCAGTATTGCTTCAGTTTCGCAAGTTTCAGTGTGAAATTTATATTTTACAGCTAGGGCTTCTCTTTCCATGGGGCTTTCTCACACTAGGAAGGCTCACACCAATAAGGAAAACAAGAGCTCCACCTTAACCCATCCTACTGACACAGGCTAAATCCCAATGCTTGTGTCTCTTCTGTTTCAGCAGTAGAAGTTCTTGATGTAAATGGGAACAGAAGAGGTACATAAATCCAAACTATGGTGATGTCTGTCCAGCCTCCTCTGGAAAACAGTGAGTCTGACCTGTAAAAATGAGCAAGAAGTCCAAGAGTAGAAAAAGTATATGCGGGGACAAACCTGAAGGCTACTGTTGTGAACAGCACTCCTTACCAACAGCCACTGGTAGTAGGACTGCCTTTTACGTAATTTAAGTTACAAATGGAGTTCAGTTATTGATATGAATACGTACCACAGCACATGCTACGTGTCCGTTGATTCTGATGTTTTGGTCCAAACACTCTTCCTGTTTTTTCTCTGTAACACATGAAACCTTGTAATTGCAAAATCTAAACAATATTCAAAGATTTTTTTCTGTTTTTCCAGTCCATTCCTATTTACAGTCTAGTGAAAACTGTTCAAAGTGCAATTCTGTCTGTCTTTCCAGCTGACATTCCTTCCATTCCAGTCCCACTTCCTGCAGTTTCCTTGGGTGGCTTTTGCTTTGCACCGCAATTGTCTGAATTAAGATGTAATGCTCTCAGTAGACACTGGGTTTGCAAATGCAGTTTAAAACACAGCATCCCTCAAACAGCTGTCTGAGGGCAGCACAAAGAACTGGGCTTTGCCGTTAGCTGACATCACTCCAAGAAGTCAAAGAACATCTGGGGATCAAAGGGCAGTAGTGCTGACATCAAGGCACTTCATAATTGAGCAATGGTTTACAAAGAGTTAATCATCTCAAGGTTTCAGAGAGCATTTTGGAGACAGCTCAGAAAAACAGAGCTGTAAACAGAAGCAAAGGCTTGGAAATACAAGACAGAGAGGTGGGCCAGATATAGAAGGGCCATGGGCAGCACAAGGATTCAAATATATATGAATGAAAACATCTAAGGGCTGGAAGGACATGATCTGGAAGCAGTGGAGGGTGAGAAAGAGAAGGCTGCAGCAATGAAAATATTCCAGAAATGGTGAAAAAGGGGTAAAGGAACCAGGATTCATTAACGGGACTTTCCTAGTATGAGCATTACTCTTCCATTACGCAATATTTAGACCTTTGCTCATGCAATTCAAACAAACTCCCAAGTTTTTAAACCTCTTATCAAGCCCATAGGAGTCTCTTGGAATCCTTGTGATAGGGAAGGCATTGGTGCCTCACGCCGCTCTAAAGACTCTGTGGCACTGCCTGGCTGTTGCCCCTAGACAAAGTAGAAAGTATCAGGAGGGAAGTATGTGCGATGATCCACATCCATGACAAGCATTAGCCCTGGAATGGCCCAGGATCTCTCATGCCTTCTCCAAGTCCAAGTCCTGTCAGTGGAAGCAACGGCTGCTTCCCCATCAGACAGAAAACGCTCCTTTCTCCGAAGTCAGCCAGGTTGTCACTGAGGTCTGTGTTTCAGCTGCATGCTGAGGTGCCGCGAGGCATCTGCTCCTCAGCCCTGGTCTCTGCCCTCAGCCCTGGCAGCGCATGAGCACACAGCAACACTGCAAATGTCACAGCCAACACTAAACCATTGCCAGAAGCAAGAGCAATCTATCTGTTACTGTTCTGCTTTGCCCATGATGGAAACCATTTCTGCTTAGCCCCTTGATGGCCAGCCTCCACTGCAGCCCCTCCACGAGCTGACCATTTGTTAGGGCAAGTCCCTCTGTGCTCCCCACAGACAGAGCACGCTGCTGGAGGATCCTGGTACGTCAAGTCAAGGGGCTGGCAGCCAGGCACAGCACCTCGACAACTGAACTCCACTCTTCCAAAGCTCTGAGCCGCAGAACCACAACAGAAAAGGAGTGCAACACTGGAGCATTCATTTACAGGATGTATTTATTACACTGTAAAAAGTCCATTGGATTTGTAGCCATTTACTCTGTATGTACACTGGTTGTACTCCCACCCCAACCATAGGTTCCTTTCAGTACAGTATATGCTGGGCTGGAGTCCTGCCCGTGCCCCTCCTGGTCACCAGTGGGATTTCCAAGATTGATTATTGAGAATTTAGCCAGCTAATTGAGAAAGGAGGAAGAACGGAGATGCAGCGCTTGCCAGGCGGCCAGCTCTGCTCTGGGCGTGAGGGGGTGGAAGAGCAGGACATCCTTGCTGCAAGGCAGAAGCACAAGAATGACTACCAGGACCTCAGCTGCAGGGGCGTTCTAGGTGAAGGAGGTGGGCTCCCAACAACTAGAAGATGCAGAAGGGTGCAATCTCTGCAAAGCCTCCATGAGATAGCACAGCAGACTTGCTGGGCATCTGTCAGCAGGTGCTACAAATCCTCACATCTTCTCTAGCTGAAGAGGATATTCTTCCAAGGAATGGGGCTGGACACCAAGAGGCCAGTGTAGCAAGGGATGGACCACACAGCACTGCTGTGCAGCCCAGGGAGTCGCTCCCCAAGCACCGTTTGACAAACAGCCATGGTGCTCTGCTCTCAGCTCAACAGGACTCTACTTTCCCTTCTCAACTGGCTCAACTAGGCAGAGCCTTCTGAATTTGCTCCCTCCAACCAGAAAGCCCGATTACATTTACAGGAGGAGGGAGGAAAGCAGTGTTGCCCCTACCAGGCTCCCCGGGCTCCATACCTGGCATGGGGATTGCTGTCATCCATGTTGCAGAAGAAAAGCACGTGGCTACAGCAGACAAGAAGGCCTACGTAGCAAGCTGGGAGCTGCACTGTAAGCAATCCGCATACACAAAATTCTCAGCCTGCTCAACCCAGGCACGCCCAGAGCCCAAACAAAGCAATGCAACCAGAAGCATGGGCAGGAAAGTGAGGGAATGGCTGGGGAATTGTCCAGGGATTGGACTGAATAAGCTGAGAGGCAGTCCTGTACTGCAGCCCCTCTCTGGTGTGACATGAAAGTAGTTTTCCCTCTTCACCAGATGAACTCGTGGCAGCTTGGTCCCAGGCTGCTGGGTGTGGGTGTTGCCTGGCCCCTGAGATTGTGAAGGCAGGAAGGAGACTGGTCAGGGGAACTAGGCACCCCTCCAAGAAGACAAGGATTTCTAGGCAAATTTCTAGGTGGTTGCCACAAGAAGGGAGCAGAACATGACGTGCTCCAGGGGGATTGTGGCAGCAGCCCTTCTGCTCAGGTTAGCATCATCTTTTAAAACAAACACGCCCGCTACCAGAGAACATTTGGCCAGCATCCTCCACCCACAGAGCTTCCTCAGCAGAAAGTTCTCAGACACCCTCAAACTAATTGACTTCAGAGGTTGCCATGGGGTCAGTAGGCCGTGGAGTAGCTAAGAGGGGAACAGGAGAGGTGGCTTCAATTAGGGCTGGGTTGAGAATGATTGGCAGAGTCATAGGTGGCACCCCAACCTGCAGGGGAGAGGCAAGAGGCTGCAGGATGAGTGGCGGCTGTGCGGTCGTAGGAGGTATGTCTGTAACAGGGCTTGTCTTTGTTGGAGCTGATACTGGGAAAGAAGTAGAGGCAGAGGTGCTGATGGTGGGTGAGGCAGGTGCAGTGGTTCTCTCTGACTCTGGAAAAAGGAAGAGACAAAATATATCCTTACACAGGCCCTGACAGTTACCTTTCAGCTCAAAGCTAAGCAGGGCTGAAGATCTACTCAGGGGCCTTTTCAGACTTGCCCCTTCCACATACCTTCATGCAAGGCCCTGAGGAGCAGATGCCAATCACAGACATCCCGCCCCAACCTCTGCCCATCCCAATAACCTCAGCAAGAAAGCCACAACCTATCCATTTGGAAGCACAACAGTTCCACAACACCAGAGGCCTGGTCACTGTAGATCATGTTAAACCAAGGAAAAAGCACTTCCATGCCACTATGCTGGGAAGATGATTACAGAAAGAAGAAAATGGGACTCACCACTTGCACCCAGCTCACAGGGCTTCTCCAAAGGAGTCAGGTGGGTAGCTGGTCTCACATCCCCTGCAGGAGAGGTGGGCAGGGCAGACACTATTGATTTCTGATGCTGCTGCTCCATCGGTATGCTGGGGACAGGATCTAGGAAAACAAAACAAGCAGTGAGCCCACACACCAGTTTGCTCACTCCTTTTGCCCACCCTCAGTTTGCCCTCCTTGTGCCAAGCTCCCACAGCCTCCTGCACCTATCATTTCATCAGCATGCAGGCACTATAGCAGCTGGGTACTAGACAAGGTGCAAGCACTGGGTCCACGACCTGTTTCCTTGAGGTTTCTCAGTTCCTCGTACCTTGGATGACTGTCTGTTTGAAAAGCTCATCCCGCAGCCTAGGTAAGAAACAGTCAATCCTCTCCCAGGTGATCTCCCAGAGATCTGAGTAGCCCGTCCGCGAGTCAGCACTGTGGAATATCCCAGCTGTATCCATTACAAGCAGCATATTCTTCAGAGACTCTGGGATGGCCTCCAGCTGTAATCAAAGACACTCCTCAGGACACGGAGAATGGACATATAGCAATAGCAATAACAATGAACAAAAGCTCAAAAAAAGCTGATGGGCTGCCTTGGAAACAGGCCAAGGGGAGAGACAAAATGGTTTTGGAAGGATTAAAAGGTTAAAAAAACCCCAAACCAAAAACCAAACCACCTTTCAAGTTTAGAAGGTTTAAACCAACAAATGGTTGTCCAAAGCACTGCAGCATCACTTTCAGCACCTTACCAGTAAATCACTGGAGCCAGCATACAAGTATTTATCCATAAAGTCCAGGATTGTTAGCCACAGGGCAGCAAAAGTGGTCAGTGAGAGCAGTGGGGAGAGATGCTGTAGGAACACCTAGAAAAAAAACACAGCTACTGTCAATGAGTAGTATCAGGGCTGCTGCTCATAGCTTGACAAGCCAGTCTTGCAAATCTGGAATTCCCCCTCCTTGTGGCAGGCCAGGAATGTGCACAGGCCAAGCCTGAGGACACCACAGGCCTCCACTCTTCTGAGCTGCATATGTAAAGAAGTGGATCTTGTCCCCTTCACATGAGGCCACTGCAGCCTGCATCACCATGTCTTTCAGCCCTTCCAGACTCTCTGCCTTAGGTCAGTAGTATCAGCTTGTGACATGCGTCATTTCACCACTAGAACAGACTGTCTTCAAATAATGTTAGGTGAAATACTTCTCTCTCCATCCTTCATAAAGTCACAAACTCCTTCCTGACAACTTTTCTGAAGGCCAGGATCATGGAGACAGTTCTGGAAAGAAGGCATGTCCCACCAGCAGATGGTGGTGAAGCCCAGCACTGTGGACAGTCAAACTAACCAACTGACACCTATCCAAATCAGAGACGCTGAGAAGCTAATACAACAAACAGTCTGGTTTTCTTGAGGCGCATGGTTTCCCCTGAGCTTTCAGGCAGCAGAAGCATGATCACCTTGGAGAGCAGTGTTGAGGCTCTCATCCTAGTTTCTTCCATCCCACCAATATCAGCTGGGCTGATGTTCTCGAGGAGCTTGGTTAGCAGAGGGAACAGCACCTGTTGGATCAGACACATCGGTATTTCAGAGCTGAAAAATGACTGATGAGATTTGCATAGACAACCTTACAGGAAGGACCTGGCTTTTGAGACTGGTGGCTTCTAGGCAGAGAACACAGGAGAAGCAATGGGAAGTAGAAATGAGTGGATTCATTTCAATACTCCAAGAGGCTCTTAAGAAGCCTAAGCAGAGAGGAAGTTTTCACAGGATCAGAGCAGGGAACGCCTTGTCTGTTGCGGTGAACAAGCTGCTCAAGAAGATGGTGCTGAAGTAGGGCACCATTCTGCCACTCCCACACACCACTTTGCACTTCATGACAATGCTGTCCCACCTACATGACCAGCCCAGCCAGGAGGTTACCTTGTTGAAGCAGGACTCCCATTCTAGGGCATCCAGGGCCTGCAGGTCATGTACCAGGAGGGCCCGCTGCAAGTAAGTGAGTGCTTGCATCCGTACGGGGCGTCGGGCATCACAGCACAGCCAGGCAATACCTGCAAGAGAGTGACTCAGGGCAAAGCCCACGAGAAAGTGTCACATCCCTACTTCCCCAGTCTAGGGTGAAAAGTCCAGTGAAGATCAAACACTCTCACAGGGGTGGGGGGCTGGGAATATGCTTGTTCCAGGCCACAGACTGAGAACTGACTCATCAGGTCCAGAAGCAAGCTGGCAGCTAACTCATGCTGAAGATACCTTTCCAGATTTGATCCCAGTTCTTTTTCAATTACAGCAGGCCCTCAAAACAACCTCTGCCTGCTTTCTGCAGTTATTTCTTGGCTCCTCAACTTTCCCAAGTGCTGCTCTTATTTTGAAAGTGTCTCATCACAAGGGGATGGCTTTACCCTGTAGCAAAGGACACCAGCAGTTGGACCACAGTGTTCGGGAATCTGCTTCAATTTTCCTCCCCGGTGTCTCTAGATGGCGTTGCTCCTCTGCCCAGGAGCTGTAGATGCTGGCTGCTCGTGTGTGCAAGGTATGCATGAGGTCCAGGAGCTGCAAGTCAAGCATCACATTAAGCAAGACACAGAACATAAATTTTTGAAGCAACCCTGGTCTCTGCTCTTCCTCAAACCAATGCTAAAAGGCTCACAGCTACTCAAGCCTGCTTCCTGTATGTACATAGACATGTATAGCTACGGAGTTGGTGTCAAGCCCTGCTGTCTGTGTGCTCCCTAAGTGGTCAAGTGCCAGGTGTCTTCAGCAAGATTTGTGTCAGTTCAATAGCTGTGTCAATTCCATCTCTGAGGAACAGCATCCCAATCCTGCCAAGAGAAAGAATGGAGCCTTTCCTGGCACAAAGCATTGACTCTCCCAGGCAGAGGGAGAAACCTGGTGATTCAGCTATACTGTCCAGGAACAACTCTGCAACTTACTTTTTTTGGGGGGTGTAAAGCATGAAGCACATGCAAAACTTTTTCAGAACAGCTCTGTATGGGCAAACAACAGCATTCTAGTCACTTTACTACTGAACCAAGGCCCAACGGCCTGGCAGGCAGCAGGCCTGTGCCATCATACCTCTGAAGTACCAGCTGGAGAGAGAAATGACTTCCTCATCCCAGTCATCTGTACTTGAAAGCCCAGTGCCTCAGCCCACAGGGCTTTCCCTCTCCACAAGCTCAGATGCCCTTTCAGACTCCCCACTAATCCTACATGAACCTCATGCCTCCAAATGTCCTTGGATCCACATCCATCTTACCTACCACAGTGACACACAGCTCCAGACCCCACCCTCCTGGCTTTTCAGAGGACTCCTCTCTCCACTGCTATTCTGCTTCTGCCCATCCAAATTGCTGTGTACCTCTTTCACTGCAGAACCACACACTACACCAGAGCCACCCTCTGCCATACAGTGCCCACTAACCTAGTATGCAACCCCCTCTATGCCAAGAAGAAACCCAGTGACTCCCTAGCAAGGTCCTGAGTATAGGAAAGGAGAGGAGGAAATCCTTGCTATACTTACGTCCTGACTAACCTGTAAAGACACAGTGTGGTAGCTGGCAGGGATGCTCTCATCCTCATCCTCATCACTGTGAGTGTGTGCCTGGTGCTGGCTCAAGACCCGTGATCGCCGTGTGGAGCTCTCCTTTGGCTTTTTTTTTAACCGACTGGATTTACTGTCATACCTGTGGCTCTTCCCTCTCTTCTCCTGGGACTTGTAGCCTAGAAAGTGAAAGGCAGCAACACACCATGTACACATGCCACCACAAAATTTTCTGCCTTTCAAAACAGACAGCAGCCACCTTTTGATATCCCCAGTGGAAAGCCCTGACCTGTGAGATGACTACTCACTTGAAGAGGCACCCAGCACCCCTCAGGAACAGCCTTCAGCAACAGCTGATACTGTTGCCTGCGACACCAGCTCCAGACCTCTCCTCCATCCCAAAGAGAGTGATAGGAATAAGGTCCTTGCTGTTAGCTGGAGCCAGGACACTTTTCTCACAGCAGACCATTTTCTAGGAGTTGGGGACTCGTTCCCTTACAGTACACCTCACACTTCTTGTTGACTGGCCACCCCAAGTCCAATCCTGATTGTCAAACCAAGAGCCATCTTACCCCCATTCAAGCTCGCCTCCACAAAGATGCGGATGGTTTTGACACAGAGCTCGAAGTTCTCAGGTGTAACGTGGGCAGCATCTCGCACAATGAAGGACAAAGACTCTACGCACTTCATGAGAGACTTTGTGTCATGTGGGCCCAAATCCAGCCCCACTGTCAGGCTGTACTGGTTGACAAGAGGAGACGGCCCCAGCCTGCTGAGCCCAGCAGTGGATCTGGAGGTGTCGATGTCATCTTTCCCCACCTGCAGGGCACAGCAAGAGGGTAGCAGAAGAGGGCAGCATAACAAGCAGCACCTCATGCATACACTGAAAGGGCCTTTCTTCTGAAGTCAACAGGTAACGTTTCTGTAGGATCCATTTCCCTTTCTCCCTCGTTTGCCTCCAAGCTTTCTCCTCTCCATCTGCACCTCATCCCCACCCTCTTACACTGTCAGCTCATCTTAGCTCTCTTTCCTACTGTCTTATTCTTTCTCTCCCTACCACACACCCTCTGCCCACAACCATGCTAGGACTAGTCTTCTTCAGGCACCAGAAGCCCATTGGCTACTCACCACTAGCCAGCCACTGTTCATGACATCCACATCTGTCACTGAGCGATGCATCTTGCCTGGCTTCCCATGGTCTGTGTACACCTCTGAATCAGAGGTGTAGCCACGGTCCAGGCTCATGTCACTTGGATGACAGGAGGAAGAGACCTCGCTGTCTGACTGAGCACCTTTGAGACAAAAGGCATGGGTTTTAGATCAAAGACAAATGAAGAACTTGGAAGAACAGGTGTGGAAAAGGGAGAAGCAATACAGATTAGTCAGATCAGCATCAGCTAGGAACCACCAGTGGGCCCTGGAAGAAACTGGGACAGGCCTCTCCTCCTATGAGAGGAAGAACAACTATGTCAGGAGCATGCATAGGAAACAGGACACACAGATCTTTGCCACTGTTTCTCCCCTGTAGGTATGTCTGACTTTCCGCTTCAGAGGGAAGGGGCTTTCCATCCTCTACTGTGGCACTTGTCAGCCTGACCGTGGATTTAAAAAGGGCAGGAAGTCCAGTGCTTTGACTGTGGGGGAAATCAGATGTACCACACACTTCAAGAACTACTGGAGACGCCAGGTTCAGCCAAGACAACTCCAAAAGCACAACATGGAATGACATGACTCATGCAGGGCCTCTGGAGTCACTCAGCTCCACACTAATACTGGTAAAGTCTTTCTCATGAACAGCAATCTGCATTAGCATGTTCCACACCTGTCAGATCTATCTTCCCTGACCTCTAGGATAACCTTAAATTTCACATGTCCCAAGCACAGAAATCTTTGCAAGGGCCAAATTTAAGCTACTGATACAATGTTATTTAGAAGCAAAAATTAATTCTCTCTATCACTCAACATTATCTAGAAACTCACCAGCAGAGAGACAGACTTGCTGTGAACACAGTGCACCAAACATTTTCAGGAGGTAAAGAGAACTAATGTTCTGATGTGCAAGGTGCCACAGTCAAGTAGTTTGCTCAATCAGCAAAGACAGAAGCAAAAAAAAAAACAAAAACCACCCAACGAAATGGGAGAAGACAGCCTAGCATTAGCCCAGAAGGCAAAGGCCATAGGGGTTTTGCAAAATCAGGTTTCTCCCATCTGTCTAACACAAAGCATCAAGACCTAGCAAGGAAGTTCTAGAAAAGCAAGGAGGAAAACAAAGGCTTCTGGAAAAGTCTTTTCTTGCTGTTTGCTTTAAAAGTCCGAAGCTGTCAGCGTCAAACACACTGCCAGCTGGCTAAAGCCAAACAGGAACAGTTTGCTGAAAGGACTGTCTTTCTAACCCAGTCAAGAGAAGTGGGAAATAGTGGGTTGGTATTGTGGGAACGGTTCAGGCACTGTGAACACAAACGGATTCGGAAATAGAATTTTAAAGAAAACTCCCTTTACGAGACCCTTAAAAACAGGACAGAAAGGAGTCAGTTCTGCAAAAGAAGCAAGTATGACAGGAACAGCAGCTGGGTTTATATTACACACCCAGATGAGAGATTAAAGCTATATTACCCAAGGCACCAGACCACAACCAGCAGAAAATGTTCCTTGGGTAGAGCAAAGACCTTCTACAGCTGCTACAACTGCTATCAGTTTTCCTCCCACTGCTCCCCCAGGGACTAGCACCTGGACTGCTGCTCACGGAGCAGGAAGAGATGGCAGAGTAGAGACAGGGACAGACCATAGGGCAGGAGTGAACAGCAGGTGCTGGTCTTTAATCTTGCTAATGTAGTTTAATATCAGCTTTGTTTTCTTGCAGTCCCCTTTGCTAATTGAAAAGCTTGAGGAAGCAGCTGCTTATCTGGCAGGCAGGCATCAGATTTCCTAGCAAAAGCTGGCCTGTCTTACCTGTGTCGTTATCTGCCCTTGCTGTAACCTGCAGGGCTGCAGGCGGCTTCACCCCAGACCCAATACACTCCAGGAGGGTGAAAAGCGTGTACCAGTCGTCCCCAGAGTGAATGTTGGCAGCATTGGTCTTCAGGAGTTCATGGAGGCCATAAGCAACCTCATGGCTAACTCTGGACAGCACATTTGGCTTCATCATGAGCAGGATACGTAATGAGAGGAGAACCTGGCCAGAGGAGACAAGAATAACAGACCCTAGTATTTACCTGCCATTCTCCAGCAAAGTCCCCGTTCATTTATTTAGAGCTACTTACAACTGCTGTTCGTTGTTAGCATAGACAGGTTAAACGTGGGTCCATCCAACAGCAATTGGTTTCCTGTGTTGCCATGTGTAGCCACAAAACCCCAGTAACCGACTTTCACAAATCCCTTACCTGCGCACTGATTTCTTCCCGACGAAGAAGCCGAATTGCTAGTCTCAGCAGCCCCACCACTGCCCTCTCCACCAAGAAGCAGAACTCCATCGCATGGACACAGAGATGATAGAGGTGGTCTCGCACAGTTTGCCAGACACAGGTCACACGGTCCCTAGCCACAACAAGGAGGAGGGAAAGGGTAGGATGAAAGGAGATGAGACAAGAGGAATCCAGCTACCTCTCCCAGAACTCCAGACAACCCAGTATTTCTTCATTTCAACAAAAAAACTCCATCCAGGAGATACAAGAACAGGCACACAGAAACAACAAAGCCGTCAAACTTCTTATTTATTTCATTACTTGCAAAGGAATCAGGTGGGAGAATTCTCCCTCTAGAATTCAGTTTATGTTCTCCAAATCTCAGGATATCAAGCAATAATTTGTGGGCGAATAGCCCCACTGTTTGCACATGCTAGAGTGGAATTGCTAAGCCCCGAAATTACAGCCACATGCTGCTTCAGCTGGCAAATCAACCACATAAGGAACTCATTCCCTGGACTCAGGCAGCAGCTGCAGTAAAGCAAGGATGTTTACAGTGAATCTGCATGTATTTCAGGGTCATACCTATTCTCTAGCACAATCCTCAGAAGCATCTCCAAGCAGAAGGCAGCATCCTCTTCATCATATGTGTCCTCATCAGGAGTTACAGAGATTAGAGCCTAGAAAAGCCAGGAAATGTTTGTGAATCACAGCCCCCCAAAACCGGGGGACCAACAGTGAGGACCAACAGACTGCTTTGAGTCTGGGCAAAACTGCACTCCACTGTCTGGTGAGGTCATGCGTAGTCTATCAAAAATGCACTGGACAGAGGTCAAGTTAAATATATGGAAATTTTTTTGTTGTTGTTAGCAAGATGCAATATGAACTTAAAAGATGCTAAACTCTGACGAAGTCTCTCAGATGGAGAGGACATCTGAAAGCCATCAGCTTCTCGCTAAGAATATGTGACACACAGAAAAGGCAAACATACCTAGGAATGACTACAAATACTGGAACTATTCCTCTCAAGCCATCACTTGCACATGAAGTGAAAATTCCTGACATAACAGGGGTAAGAGCAAAATGTTCCCCCAGAACCGAGATGGCACACGAAAACTGAGGCACCACTTCTCCGCATGGGCCAGCAACATAGTAGTCTTTGTGTGATCCAAACAGCAAGTTCTGCTTTAGCTGTTTTACATATCATTCTTTGGAGTTTACTCACTTATCTTTATTTTGAAACTCAATACCTATTCTTCTGAACCTCTACAGCAAGCCCTGATAAATAAACCTTTCCTTTGATTTAGCACAAGTCTCAATAGTGTCACGTGCGCTTATCAATGAAGCCAGTAAATGACAACTATAGCAGCCTGAAGGGAAAGGCACTTGCACTTTAAGGAGCCATGGAATTAGGCAACCCACACTGCCAGCCCACACAGCATCCCAGCAAGGGCTGCACTGCACTATCTGCTTTTTGAAATGGTGAGCAGCAGATTTGTTCCACACCCTGAAGTGGTCCCAAACTCCACACTAGCTTGAGAAGCCACTACCACAACCAGGTAACTACCCTCCCCCAGGGAGATGAGCTTCTCTAGCCCAAAGGCTAGTGAATCCAGCCTTATGTCTCCCACAGCAGCCAGGTACCACACTACCTAAGGGTACACAGTCAAATATCTCTGTACAGCTCTTGCCTCTAAAGTTGCCTTTTAGAATGTTGTCATTAAGCACTCAGCACATCAGAAAAGACAAAAAAGCATAACCTTCAGCTCATATACAGAGCTACACATATTTCTAAACACCTACCATGACCTCCTCAAGGCTTTTAGCATACATTTCACAATTTAATGTCTTCCTTTACTACTAAAGCAGTTGTGGTTGTCAGCATAGAAGTAACATGTTAACAGCTGAACTAATGACTGATTTCATATCCCAAATAGGTCTAAGACCTTCTTTGGGACAGAGAAACTAGGTGAATACATAGGACATATCCATGACCACAGACAGCATACTTGTTCCATCACCAGTCCAATTCCGTGCCCAGTATCTCTCACCTTCATAAGCTCCTGGAGGGATTCAAGCTGGAGGAATTTGCTTTCTGTGATCAACTTCTCAGGATCACAGTGCTGCAAAAGACAGAAAAGAGGATTGCACATCTGGCGGATGGGGAAGGCATACAAAGAGATCCTGCAGAAACAACAGCTTGTTTCCCAGGAAAGATACAGATAGTGGCTTTAACACAACTACCTGGAGGAAAACTCCTGCCAGCTAGTTCGCTCTTTTAACATCAATTACCTTTAACAGACCTGATCTCTGCTAGACAGATTTTAACAGATAGCTTCTCTGTCCATACACTGTTCAAACCCCAGGTTCAGATTTTGTTGGCACCATGTGCCTTAACATTGTCTTGGAAAAAGATTAGAAATTTGAAAATTCATTAATTTCTCTTCAATTATAGGACTGCGATGCCAAGGGCTGACAGATCCCAGCCTCTTGCGGGTAATGGTTCCTGTTTTCATGTGTTACTGCATTTGTGCATCACAGCATGTAAGACCCTTTAGCTGTCAATACAGATACACTCCTCTGTAGTTTCTTATAATTCCCTAGTCCTCTGGAACCTGCAACAGTGCCTAGAAACATGCATATTTATGCTTCTGTTGCCTGTTATCTGCATACTTCTGTTACCACAAACAAAGGCAGCTTCTTTTCCAGCCTGTGTGTTACCTTTATGCATTCCAGAGCTGTTCGCTTTGCCTCCTGTGTTTCTGTAGATGGACCCCTCACACCAGATTGCTCCGTCCCACTGAGGGTGAGCCAACTAACAAAACTCAGCACTGAAGATTCACCACTGCAAGTCAGAAGACACCAGTGTCAATGAGAAAATAAGAAATCGTATTATTCTCCAGCTTTGGTACAAAAAGGACTGGGCCATCTACGCCACTCACCGGTTAGATGGTGTCTCCTCACGTTGCAGATAGATTTTACCATTAGGATCCACGAAGTCTTCAACCTAGAAGATATCAGAACTTGCATATGATCCATTGTCTACCTCTTTGTAGCCTTCCCCCTGCAACCCCATAGTGTTTCACTTAGTGATGAAACACTACACCCAGCCGCCCATGTGTAGGTAGTCAACCCCAGCTCTTTACCCCCTCATCCCTTCAGTAAAGTGTCACCCCCATCTGGCAACACCAATGCTGTGCTCTAATACTTCATGCCCATAAATAAGCATGTCCCTCTTCTGCACAAAGTAAAATGAACGCTGAAATTTCTCAAATCCGACAAAAAGTAAAATGATAAAAAAATGAAATCCTACAAAAAAAAGCTGAAGCCTGCACATAATTTGAACACTGCGTCCTTTGCAGGTTTTCTACCTCTGTACACACTTTACCAACACCAGGCCTTTGCAAGAGAGCTCTCCTCCTCTTTGAGCTGGTTCTATGAAAAGCCAGCTTCGCACTCCCCTACTCTTCAATTACCCACAGGCTGGCTATTATTACCTCCACCATGGCCTTGGGCAGCAGCTCTGCTCGGAAAAGCTGTAGCATGGCCTCCATGATGTTTTTCCAGCCCTCCCGCAGAATGTCACCATGGCGATGGGCCAAGTGAAACACAGTCTTTGCTGCAATATGGGCCTTGGGATTACTTCCAAAAACAGTGGGCAGGCTCTCAATAGACTGTAGGAAAGAAGAGGGGGTGGCAATCACTCAGCAAGAGATGTTTTCTTTTCAACACAAATTAGGGCAGACTGTTCAGAACTGGTTACGGGAAAGACAACAATTCTGTGTACGATGCTTGGATAACTCCTCAGCTCATATTCACTTTGCACAAAAACAAGGACAAGACAGCTTACCTGATACAAGCTGAATCACTGAACCACCTAACTTAAGCTCTCCAAGAACAACAATACAGAACATTTTGAAAGTGCTTGCTGAAAACTCACTAGCACTAATTTATTCTGCTATGGGAGCTCATTCCAGGATCAAAGCCTTCTACAAAAAGTACCACATCTCCTCTGGAAGCAGCAATTACTCCCCTCTACTGCTACAGAAGGAAACTATGGCCAAAAGCATTACTGACTTGCAAAGCTACTCCTACCACTACTTAACAGCAAGATTCAAAGTAAGAGTGATGAACCCTGACATGCAGTCTCTGCCAATAATTCTGCATAATCTCTTCAACGCACTCACAGCTTTTCAAAATAAAAGAAGTGTGCTCAGTTTTCTGGATTGAAAATGCGACTCTTCCAGACTCAGACCTGAAGTTCAGAAAAACCAGCTTCAGCCAGACTGATGGCAAAAACTATTATCAAAATGGGCTTTTGATCTAGAGGTAACTCTATTAGAAGTGCCAGTCTGGAAGCCTGGCAGAAATATGACAACCAGTTTGTTTTTTCCATTGTTGCTATGGGGAAAACACATTAATAAATACATCACTGAAGTCTCAGGAGTGCAAACAGCAACATGCCTGGTTTTGCACTGTGGCCGCAAGCCACAACCACCAAATTAAAACACACAGGGGTTTTGCTACTACTTATACACTGAGTCAGTACGAGCCTTAACTGTCGATTAAGAAGTGGGGCACTCGCTCTTCTCAAATCACTTAATTCCCCTCCATGTTCCTTTCCATTCCTCCTCTTTCAACCAAAGTGTGTATGCATAGCAATTGCAGTGCTTGGAGACGATGCCTGATCACCAGGATGATCTGACCTGGGAAGTGACTAGCAGCTAATTGACACTTTGATGTTCTTCCCTTGCTTTCTAACAGTTGCTCTCTGTTTTGTCTCCTCAGCCCCCGAAGACAGCCCCTCCTTCTCCCCTTCCACCAGACTGTCTCTCAAATATTTGTTCAGTTGTCATATTCCACTACTGTCTCCAAGCCTTAGAGGAATTTAGGACAGCAGAAAGTAATTGGTGTACTTGGAATCTGGCCAAAGATAAGAACTCACAGCCTTCTTCAAATCCAGAACTCCCTGATTCTACGTCATCACCAAAAGACATGCTTGTTTAATTTATGCAGACCTTGGACTGCTCCAGATTCCAGTCTCACAACTAGATGGGATGCAGCTGGCAGTAGCTGGTGCCTCTAAGGGCTTAGTCTAGTTGCTTCTACTGTGTAAATCTGTGTCAAACAGTTGTTTCACGGCAGACATTCCTCTGCTTGTGTTATCTATTGATAGCCTCAAGGTCTGGTATGCCTGGAGAGGATCAAGTATTTCATCTTTACTGTTGTGAGCTGTGGAGGAAGAGGGAATCTAAAGCAACCCCACTGCTAGGGGTTTCTTTGTCTTTTAATAGTCAACCTGGTACTTTTTCACTGCTACCAAAGTCAGAAGGCAAGTGATACAAAACACCCAGTCCAAACAATTCCATTTCCCTGCAGCCTAATTTCCCTGCAGCCCTCCATTTGCAGGACTGTTCCCTTTCTGCTACCCTTTCAAGGGATTTAAAAAAAAAAATTTTTTTTTTAAAAAAATCACCTGTCTTGGCCTTTTTAATCCCATGCTTTCAGTCTTCACAGAACCACAGAATGTTAGGGGTTGGAAGGGACCTCAAAAGATCATCTAGTCCAACTCCCCTGCCAGAGGAGGACCACCTAGAGTAGATCACAAAGGAACACATCCAGGCAGGTTTTGAAGGTCTCCAGAGAAGGAGACTCCATGATCTCTCTGGGCAGCCTGTTCCAGTGCTCTGTCACCCCCACAGTGAAAAAGTTTTTCATTATATTAACATGGAACCTCCTATGCTCCAGCTTGCACCCGTTGCCCCTTGTCCTATCATTGGACATCACTGAGTATGATGGAGCCCACCTCCATCCTCCTGACATTTGCCCTTTACATATTTACAAACATTGATGAGGTCATCCCTCAGTCTCCTCTTCTCCAAGCTAAAAGAGACCCAGCTCCCTCAGCCTTTCACCCTAAACGAGATGTTCCACCCCCTTAACCATCTTTGTG